CATACTTATAGGAGATGAGTTGAGCCCATGGGGTGTTTATGTTTTGTAACAGTCTCCAAGAAAGACCTGTTAGTAAGGCAATATTCTTGGAAGAAGCTTTATGAATGCTAAGGCCTCATTCCTGTTTACTCTTAGTGACAATATTCCAGTTCACTAAATGGAGATTTTTTGAGGTGCTAGTGCTCCCCCAAATGAAATCCTTTTGTATCTTATCAATTTATTTTAAGATTTTACCAGGTAGATAAGTGTATTGCATAGAGTAAGCAGGGATAGCATTTAGTGTGCTAGTAGCAAGGGTTGTTCTACCAGCAATATTTAGGAAGGAACATTTTCAATGAGACATTTTATTATGAAGTTTGCCAATTATGAATTGGAAATCTCTAGGCTTTGGAGTATGATTTAGAATTGGGAATCCTAGATATTTTCCAAAATCATGAGTAACTTTCATTCCAAGAAGGTTTGAGAAGTAGGAAGAAATATGAGGAGGACATAATTTTGGGAGGATGATTTTGGACTTAGTAAAATTGATGGATAAGCCTGATTGAGAGCAGAAAAAATTCATACACGATTTTATGCAATTTCCGATTTTTTTGTTAGTTTTGCCCATTAGGGTGATATCATCCGCAAATAGAGCATGGAAAAAAGAGGGACCTTTTTGAGAGATTTTTATTGGATCCCAATTTAAAATGTCTGTTTGATAATCTATGAGCTTTGAGAGCAATTCTAAGCATAGGATGAAAATGTAGGGTGATAAAGGGTCTCCTTGGCGGATACCCCTACTTGGACTAAAAAATTCAGTAGTTGTCCCGTTAACAAGGATTCCCATTGAGCTGGTACTAATGCAATGTATAATTAAATTAGTGATTTTTGGGAGGGGGGATGGAATTGAAGAATCTAAGGATTCTATAGACAAAAGACCATTCTAATCTATAAAAAGCTTTTTCCAGATTAATTTTTATAAGCATATCAGGGATAGATCTTTAGTTTTTACGAAGATTATTCATAAGCTCTTGAATGATAATAGTATTGTCACTAGATATCCTATTTTTAATGAAGCTAGACCGGAGAGGACTAATGATGTAGGGTAAAATACGTTTTATCATGTTTGCAATTATTTTAGTGATTATTTTGTAAGAGGTATTACAAAGTTCAATAGGTTTAAAAAAATTTAGGTTGTTTGCATTGGGAAATTTTGGGATAAGACATATAAAAAATTTATTTATACCATTTGGCAGAGTTTGGGTATCAAAAACCTTATGAAAGTAGGATTCTATCGAATTTCTGATGATATACCAGTATTTTTGATAGAAAAAAGGATAAATTCCATCCAGCCCAAGTGCTTTGAAGGGCTTGAAAGAAAAAACAACATTTGTAATTTCCTCATTTGTCAAGGCCGTGTCAAGACTAGATAAATCAATATTATTATGGTACGTAGGATCATTTAGGATGGCCTTTCTATGAGAGGAGGTTTTTGCGGTTGTGAAGACATTAGTAAAGAAAGCAAGAGTATGGTCTAAAATTGATTTTGGATCAGTAATCCATTCACCATTATTGTTGGTGAAGTACATAATGGCATTACGATGCTTACGATTTGAATCCATTACATGGTAGAACCTAGTATTTGCATCCCCATCGTTTAACTAAGAGATCCTGGAGCGTAATTTCCAAAAGTCTTGTTCCATTTTCAGGATATTGTTGTATTCTAATTAGAGTTTAGATTCTAAGTCTTGTAAAAAGAAACTTTTTTAGTAAGAGGGGGAGGTTTGAATTCCATTTAGCCGGGCTAGGAGTATTTTTTATTTTTGAAAATATCTCTAAATGTCTCATTTTTCCAGCTCACAACATTGTATTTGAAACTAACTTAAGCTTCAATTAAACTATTGTTAGACTAACATTGTTTAACAATGTTAATGAAATCAGGATGTCTACACCAAATTGTTTCAAGTCTAAAAGGCTTATTTAAGAAATTTATATTTTTTGGACTTAATTGGATTAATAACGGGCTATGGTCGGAGTGGGATCTGGGTAGATGTGTGACCATAGCCTTTGGGAAAAGGGGTAGCCAGTTATTATTAACAAAAATCCTATCTAATTTTTCCATAATTAATCCTCTAGATTATTTCCTATTATTAGTCCAAGTATACTTATATCCCTTATAACCTAGGTCTAATAGATTGCACTTGTTAATGCTATTCTAAAGATTATTACTTCTCCTACGATTTATTGGATTACCACCAAATTTATTATTAGCACTAAAGATGTCATTAAAATCTCTCCCAAGGAGCCAAGGCTTAGAGTTATTTTTATGAACGTTTTCAATATTATTCCACAGGGTACATCTTTTTCCTAAGTTAGTACTAGCATATACTAAGGAAAATAGCCAAATAGTATTGAAAGGAGTTACCTCAACAGTGGCGTGGATCTCTTGGTTCTTCCTAACAAAATCATGAACTCTCACTATGCTGGCATCCCACATAATAACCATACCCCCAGCTTGACCCTCTACTGGGACCTTGATCATTTCCGTAAAAGGAAAATCATTTAGGAGGGTGATATGATTTTCCATACGGATTTCTAACAAAGTTACCATGCAAGGTTTGTGAGTATCAACCATCTTCCTAAAGTTGATACAGAAGTTGTCATTGTTACCACCACGAATATTCCAAATGATTATGTTAGTAGCCTATACATCATTGAAACATGGTTGTTGATTGAGCTATTCTCCATTGTTGCATGGAGCACTGGGTTTCCCCTCAGGGATGGAACCGGTATCATTGCGTGGCTCCCCACTATAGGGTCTTGTGGAGGCCTGATGTCCATTGAGAATTTGTACAAAGTTGGGGGGGCAACTGAGAACATATATCTTCTCTTGCATCTCCCTAAAGAGATAGATCTTTACATCGTTTAGACTTGAGAATTCTATTATCTCTTCCGAACCTAGTAAGTTCATTTCTTCTACATTCTCTACTGGTGGCTCTTCGTGTTCTTGCACATTGGTATTGGCTGGTTGTGGAGGTGGGTTGTTTACTGGGGGGGACTGCTTGAGCTTGGTTTTGGTGAAAGTGGGGGGCTGCTGCCTATGGCATGAAGAATGGGTTTAAGTTCTGGATCTCCCCTGGGGTAAAGAATGTGAGATCCAGTGACATATTCTGTGGTTGGAGGGGATTGAAGTGGTGAGGAAGGTTTCATTGGTTCCTCATAGCTTGAGCTTGGTGTCATTCATAGTGGGAGCCAATGGGTGAAGTATATAGTTTAGCCAAACGTGGTTGTGGTAGTTGCTCATGGCCATGTGCATTCCCTCGGAGACAAGTTGAGCTAGGAAGTGAGAGTTTTGGAGGATGATCACTGTTTCCTGGCCATCTAGAATCATGTTGAACATTACTGCATGGCCCATCACTACTTGTTCTATCCATGATAGAGGTTGGTGATCTTGAGGGAGAGGTGGTTGGATGAAGAACACTATTTGGTTTCCCTGTTGGTTGTTCAAATTTGGAGGTGGGTTGCCCATTGTGTGAGCTCTTTGGTGCCTTAGGATTTGCACAAGTCTGTACCTCCTCCTTTATGATATGGTAATTCTTGGCATAGTGAGTATTAAGGGGTTGATTCATATTTTTTGGAACGGCTTGCTCACTGGAAGGTGTAGGGGTTCTGGTACAAGGATTTCCTAGGGCGTTAATGATTTGGTCTATTTGCATGATTTCTTTGCATGCAAGAGAAGAGATTTTAAGTTGATTTGGTGTAGTAGTAGGGTTAGGCACGTGGTGTTTGTTATTGGTCAAATGTTTAGAAGGTGGTGGCATGTGGGACATTTGTTATGGGGCCTGATCTTCATCCATGCAAAAGTTAGAGGTATTATCAATTATACTAGGATGATTTAAGGAGTGGTTATCAGATGGAATTACTTTACTCCGGAAGGTAATATCGTTATTTGTAGCTTTATTGTCTTCGTTAATTAGCTTAGTGGGAGTTATTAGGGACTACATGTTGGGTAAATCACTGACCTCCATGTCAGACACGTTATTATTGGGAGAATTTGATAAAGCCACGTTATCAATGTCTAAATTTAAATTATTTTCAGAATTTTGTAAATAATTTTCTTTTATTTTTATGGGCAGATTCTCCAAAGTGGAGAACTTGTTACTACAGTTTACGAAGCTTCCCTGAGGAGATGTGGAATGATTACTCGGGGTTTTTTTGTTACTCATACATTGAGTGTTTGAGGTGATATACATAGTATTAGAGGTTGGAATAGAAAACTTACTCGGTATTGGATGAGGTAGTTTTGATTGAATACCTGAATTTTGAGTGGTTCCAGAATTCCACCCATTGGTTCTTTTCTTCTTAGGGAACTTAACTATTTGCCATGCGTTGCCATTTACTTCACTGGCATTGCTCACTTCTTTAGGGAGAGGATTTTGATTACCTGGAGTGGAGTTTGTTGGTAGTAAAGTCTTTACATAGTGGCACTTCATTGACACATGACCCAGTCTCCCACATTGCTTGCATAGAGTATTCTCACCCTCGTATTGGATGATTTGTTTATGGTTGCCAATGTTGATGAATGGGACTACTGTAACCTCGAGTGGGAGCTCAATGCATAGTCTGGTGTAGCGGCCCTTTAGAGTTAAAGAAGTGCACGCATCTACTTTTAGTAATTTGCCAATGAAATTTCCAATTATTGCCAATATAATACCATCATAAAACTCGGTTGGTAACTGAGGTAGACGAATCCAAATGGCTATGAGGAAGCTCCTTACTTCCGTTGCCACAAAGTTTGGCTTCCATCTCTGAATAGAGAGAAAATGGCTAAATATGAACCATGGGCCATTGTTTAAAACTTTGATCATGTGTTCTTCGCATCTGAATTTAGTTATGTAGTAGTCTACTCCCAAATTGATTAGGGAAAAATTATCCATAATTTTCCAAGCTTCCTGAATTTTTTTTTAGGATATGATGCTGGATTTTCGTACCATGTAGTTTGATAATGAGAGAATATCGCCATGGTTGATATATACGTTCCTGGTCTTCCTCTGTTAAATGAATTCTCTGTTCATCCACGGACATTGAGTGATTGGGTAGGGGATTTGATTCCTGGACCTTTGTAGTAGTATCAATATATGTAGGGGACTCAGCAATTTTTAGGGAATGTTGTACTCCTTCGATAAGTTTGTCTTTAAAACATTAGATTTCTTCTTTTTGAGTGTTAGTATCCTTATCTGGTAGCTTAGGGGGAGGATATGAAAATTGTTGTTTGTTGGATTCATTTCAGTGTTTTGAATTGAAAAGATGAAGATTGGTATAATTTAGTGGTGTCGATGGTGAAAACAATGTGCAATAGATCAGCCTATACACTTCAAAGAGAGAGAAGTGTTTGGCCAAGCTTCTCCAAAGGCTAAAAGTGCTTTTTTCAAAAGTATTTTGTTTCTCAACATAAGGTATTTGGTCAATTTTTTTTGG